TGGTGCTCCTGAGCCGATTTTTTATCAATTTGAGTGTGGAGAAGCCTCTCTCACAAGCAACCTGGGTGACATACAGGGTGAGTAGGAACTTGTACCCGAGGCCTATAACATGGTAAGCATCTGTTAACAAGTTGTATCGCTGTAAAAGCTGATAACAACATACGGCACATTTCTTACATGTTGAACAACTTTTATTCATAATCTCTACCTGTTCTTCATCAGTTCCATCCATAGGTATCTCTCTCACAATCCTGGTTGTGTACTCCTCCACTGCAGACTTTTTCAGTTTCTCCCATTGACCAGCGAGAATAGTCCGCTCATACTGTAAAGTGACAACAGTGGCCCGGTTGTCAAACTTTAGTAAGCATCTGTTTAGTTCTGTGAGCGACGTCTTAGGCAATCCATTATCTCTGATCTCTGAGAATCTTCTAGGGTCCAGATAAGCAAGGTCTGCAAACAATGTGCCATGTGTCAGAAAGCGTTGATGGATGCTTTCAGTGACTGTATCCATGATGACATGGTGTACCTTAGTCTTGTAGGCCATTTCCACATCTCTTTCCATCTCATCCTGAGCCAACTCCCCTCATTGTCTTCCTTTTCCTTATCCTTTTCTTTGGCAGCTCAGTTTGCACTTTCAGTTTAGTGTCTTTATCCTGTTCTTGTAGCTTGGCAGTAGCCCACTGCACAAAGATGTATGCTGCCCTTTTCACAGAGTCAAAGTCTCTAGCATTCTTTTGTAGAGCTTCTTGTGTTTCCACATCCATCCGATGTGTTGTCAGAATGTCCAATCCGCTGGTTTGTAGGTACTTGGAGAGAGGAGACGTTTTCTCAAATACATACAAAAATGTTTGGGCAGTAAGGATGGTTTCATACTTGAGCAGGGCCTCTTTAAACCCTCTGGCTTTGACATGTACATTTGGCTTTTGACTTGCCATCTCTTCAATATTTGTCAAAGTGAGAACCACATCCACAAACAATGCATTTTGTGGGTTGCCAAAAAATCAGAAGACCTTCAGAGCAGCATCCTTGGCCCACCAGCGTGTCTCTCCTATGGAAGAGAGTCGTCTGTGATGAGGGTCCTGACTCTTTTTCTCCCAGACATTCATTCTTTGATAGGACTCTCGAATGAAAACTGCTAGGTCATTTAGTGGTGTCTCCCATCACAAGGTTCAGGATGTGCATAACACCACACATGTACTTGGTTCGGAGAGTGTGAAGAAAGCAAGGCAGAGAAGCCATTGTACTGGCCTTGCATGTTTGCAGCTCCATTAGTAGAATTTCCAATACAATTACTCATGTCCAGCTGTAGTGTATCAATGACTTCTTTAACTAACTGACTAAAGTACCTCCCAGACGATGCCTCACAACTGACAACAGCAACAAGTCGCTCATGGATAACATCATTCACATAGCGGAGAATGACTGAACATTGGTCTTTTGCAGAGATGTCTTGTGTTGTATCTATTTGCACTGAGAACATTACAGCTTGTGTAACTTCAGAGCTAACAGATTTTTGAATAATGCATCGGATGGCATCTATTACATTATTGACTGTATTTTTGGAAATCAAAGTGAGAAGGGATCCTCTGCCTTTCCCTCTGGTCTGATGTAGCCTCTTGCTCTTCTCTATGCAGTCCGCAATGTGTTCTTGCAGGCAGGTGTCTTACTTTCTGATTAAAAGAATAAACTCCAAAAAGTTCCCGTGATCTACAGAGATGTCCTCTAATGTATAAGCAGCCTCAGACTGGGACCCCCTGTAGCTAAGTCCTCTCTTGCCTATCACCTTGACATCATCTACAACACGTTCCAGCACCTGATGCCTCTTGCAAACCTGCTCTCTGTGTGCAGACATTTGCCGGCCACAAAGTAAATGGTTTATGTTTGCTTTGCTGGCCCTCAAGAAGTACGCTTCTGCACAATTTCTGTGGACAAAACTTTGTTGATGCTCTTCAATTCTCTGATGGATATGCCTCCAATCTTTCATTCCTACAATAAATGGATTGCCACTATCACAGGGCTTGGCAAAGGCAAGACAAACTGAACAAAACAACGTATGCCTCTTCTCACAGTATGTCAGCCACTTCCGATTTGTGCCAAGTCATGATCTGTTGATTTAGGCCGTGTGAACCAGTCAACATCTGGGGCCTCTCCTGTGTGCTTTGCCTCTCCCTCTTCTGTGTGCTCTGCTTCTCCTGCGTGCTCTGCCTCTCCTGCGTGCTCTGCTTCTCCTGTGTGCTCTGCCTCTCCTGTGTGCTCTGCCTCTTCTGCGTGCTCTGCCTCTGCCTCTCCTGTGTGCTCTGCCTCATGTTTGCTTTGCTGGCCCTCAAGAAGTACGCTTCTGCACAATTTCTGTGGACAAAACTTTGTTGATGCTCTTCAATTCTCTGATGGATATGCCTCCAATCTTTCATTCCTACAATAAATGGATTGCCACTATCACAGGGCTTGGCAAAGGCAAGACAAACTGAACAAAACAACGTATGCCTCTTCTCACAGTATGTCAGCCACTTCCGATTTGTGCCAAGTCATGATCTGTTGATTTAGGCCGTGTGAACCAGTCAACATCTGGGGCCTCTCCTGTGTGCTTTGCCTCTCCCTCTTCTGTGTGCTCTGCTTCTCCTGCGTGCTCTGCCTCTCCTGCGTGCTCTGCCTCTGCCTCTCCTGTGTGCTCTGCTTCTCCTGTGTGCTCTGCCTCTCCTGTGTGCTCTGCCTCTTCTGCGTGCTCTGACTCTCCTGCGTGCTCTGCCTCTGCTGTGTGCTCTGCTTCTCCTGCGTGCTCTGCCTCTGCCTCTCCTGCGTGCTCTGCCTCTGCCTCTCATGTGTGCTCTGCCTCTGCCTCTCCTGTGTGCTCTGCTTCTCCTGCGTGCTCTGCTTCATTTGCTTGCTCTTTTTCCTCAACTTCATGATGAACCTGAGTGTCATCATTATCTGGATCACTGCTTGTGTTAGGCTTAGCCTCATTCTTGTTTTGAATAAATATGTGCTTATGAAACAATTATAAGTGACCTAATTAATAATTATTAATAATTATGACTTATACAGTTAAGTTCAAATGTATCTACATGTAGACATAATTACAATTATTGTCATATATTTTCCCCTCTACTTTAGAGTTAATTACAAACCCAAAGTACAGTGTGTCACTGTTTTTTTCCCCCTACCTCTACCACACTCCTCCCTGTCGCTGCTAGGCCTACCGTAGCATCCTTTCTCACAGCACTGGTATTGGCAGACCAGGAGTGTCTGGCTGCACTGATTCCAGCAACATCCTGGTTAATGAACACAGTATAGGATGTAAACATTGCAGCAAAATGTTTTCTAACTGACTGCGCTCAACATTGGAATACACATGAGTACAATTAAGTAACAACAGTAGCACAAAAGGGAATCGAATATATAGCAAAAAAACTATAAATAGTAGCAGCAGTAATAGTTGAGTGTGTGTGTGCCAGCAGATTTGTACGTTTTTAAATCCTTTGATATATAGTTATTTGTGAATTAAAGTATGCTAAAGTGTTGCTAGTGCTGCATGTGCATTTGTGTGTGTGTGGTGTAAAGGCATGTGTGTGTGTGTGTGTGTGTGATCTGTGTGTGACAACCATGCACAGGTTCCTCCTATCATAAGGGTTAATTAATTAGAGCCACAGACAGTATTAAGAAACTGTGGCAGCATTTGTTGGGTGTGTCTCTCTCATTGCCGTCTTCCTACCTCCATGACACTTGACTCTGCTGCAGCAGCTGAGCTGTCTGCACTGGGTCCAGAAACATTCTAGTTTTGAATAGATGAACACACGATTCAGACAAGGGAGAACATAAGCAAGCCAATGGCTCATATTACATCATCTAACTATTGCATAGATAGTGCCTGTAACAGAAGCCTACAGTATGTTCCACCCTACCTAAAGATTTATTACATACTGTAACCTATGCATGTATTTAATGTTTTACTTTAATATATGACTAGCTACGTATTCAGAGTTCACTACAAATGCCTACAGTACTATGGCTATTGCTATAGGTTTTTGACATGTTAAGACTATATTGCTAGTAGCCTACAGCAGTCTGTATACCCGGCCTAAATCCCACGTTATCTGCTGATAAGCAATGACATTTTAAAATATACGGGGGTTCTACGCTAAGCTTACAACTGTTTAACACAGTGTAGGTTACTGTCAAAAACTGGCAGAAGTAGCGTGAATTACATGAAAATGACTTGAGCAGTATATTTTCTGTTTTCTTCTTACCTCCTCTACTGCACTACTGTCCTCCGCTGCAGCAGCCGAATTTAAACCTTTTGAGAAGATTTCGGTTAATTTTATGCATTTGGCAGCGTCGGATTTAAGAGCCCTTTTTTTGCTTTCTCGAAGCTTTTCTGCACTGCCTTTCCTTTTTTTACGGTCCATCATCTGACAATTAGCTCGTTTTGCACTTATGACGTGCTTGATTTTGATTATGTCCGCGTAACCTCTGGTTGGGTCAGTCGGCCCATCTCGAAACCAGCCAGCCGTCGCCGACTGGGCCAAATGCTTAACATTTATTATGATTTTTATTATTATCATCATATTAAAATCTTGCAAGCGATAAAAGCTGCCAGCCTGTAAAAACAATGTATTTATATATATTAACATTTTTTTTTTTTTTTTTTTAAATCTGACCGGCCCACATTTAAAAAATGGTCCGGCCCTTCTGGCATTTGCCAGAATTGCCAGATGACCAATCCGCCCCTGCTTCTTGCATTCCATTGCAACTTTAGTATTATTAATATTATCACCCTACACATGAAATCTCTTGACTTGCTTGCATCCTAAGTTCATAATTTACCTCCTTCCACTTGCCCATATGATGTTCTGCTGCTTTCACAAACACCAGAATCCTTTCTGTTTTTGATTTTTTCAAATGTTGCATTTATTACTCCTGCAATGAAAGTGACTTCTTTCTTATTCTCTATCCATGCATTTCTATTACCTTGCTGTCCATTTACTTTCCCTTGCCTCTTTATTACCTCTTCCCTCCTTATTATGTTTTTCCTGTCCAGCCAAATGAACTGCTTCAGCATATGATACCTTTTTGTTTAGCCTTATTTGCTGCATCTCCACCTCTTTTTTAAGTACTTCACATCCACAATTAGCTTCACTGTGCTCCGACCATGACTTTTGCAGCCAATACGAACGACTGATTTCTTGTCATCATGTTCGATGACGATCCCGATCATTTAAGCTTTATATAAGTGATATGTAAGCTCTCTGTTGACTGTCACTATTAACCTTTTTTTTCCAGATAAAAGAATACCAAAGATGTTGTATTGCTTGTATTATTTACAGTAATGTTGTATATTGTTGTTTGAACTGAGAATCAAATAAATAAGCATAACATATATTCATTTTACAATGAACATTTTAATAGGCCTTTAAAAACAGAGCTTTTCCCTCAAATTCAATTAGTACAGATTCTGTTTCCTTTTCTCTACTCCTTTCGTCATTATTCTTACTTTTCACTGTGCCATTTCTCACTTTTAAGTTTTCCACTAGTTCCCTTACATTAACATTAATGGGAACACCATAGATCACCCCCTTGCGCCCATTCTTTTCCCCCAACTCTAGCCACCTTAAGGACCTTAACTTTTCCAACATTTGCCAGTTTTCTAGCCTTTTCCATTTGGACTTTATTATTGCATTCAAATTAGCAAGTGCCCATCTCCTAGAATCCTCGCATATTTCACTTCTCCAATATATCCTTTAATGATTTTTGTTAATTTAATCCGGTCTAACAACTACATTCATTTGACCCTCTTACGTTACTTTCTCTTTCTCTTCACTTCCTTCACTTTACGATGCTGGGTGTTTCTTTTTTTCTTCCTTTGCGGGCTTTTTCCATTCTTTCTCTTTCCCATGATTTCCCACTCATTTATTCTTCTCTCATATTCTTCATTGCAAACCATACTATTACTCTTACTGTCCGAGCATCGTTTCAGACCTATAGAGGCCATCGGTCGATAATCCCAGTCCAAGTTCCTTGCAGTACATAAATGTACTATATTTACAATACCTGAACTTCAACGTCCTCGGTCTTCCCAAGTTTGTTATATTTTGACTCTTCGGTAGTCAGTCCTCAAAATAACTTGTGGCAACAGCAATGCGTCAGTCCTCTACCCTAAGAGCTTCAGACTTGTCTACTCCCAGACTAGTCTCTGCCAGCCATGTTTTGATCCAGACTTTCAGTACTCTTTCAGAAGATGCGTAATAGTGCCTCCTACTGTACAAGAGTGAAAACACAGAAAGCTGGAAAATTCTGTCAGTGGTGGGGAAAGAGTTAAACAGACATTTACTTGTAAATCATTAGTACAAATAAAGGCAGCTATGTGATACTTTTCAGTTGAATCAACCAGTTGTACCAGTTTTTCTTTTTTGTAAAAGCAAAATGCTTAAAAATTCACATTCACGGTAATAACTTTAACTCACTCCTTTAAAGACAATGTCTGCTTTAACAGTAACTCACTTGATTAGGTGAATAGAGGTGTTGGCATTATAATAAAACATTATGTGTTGTTTAAAAAAAAAATCCAAATGAATCATGTGTGTTTTAATGTGGATTATTTCTTCGAGGTATTGTATTCTCCAGTTTGTTGCATTGAGCTGTGTCCTGTTCTACTGTAAACTGAGGGAATTGGGAGTGTGTGTGTCTCACTGCTGCCCTCTTCAGTCAGGAGAAATGGTGCGTCTGCGCAGGCAGCTGCATGTCAGGCATTTGAGGATGCTCATGGTGATGTGCATAAGAGAGCCGAAGTTAAAAAGCAGGTTGTAGAAAGTGTGCACTGAGAGTCCTCCGGTCTCGTCTGCGTATTTCATGGCCACAATGGGCGTATAGAGGCTGTTGGTCAGATTCCGGAATCGGGGTCGGCTGGATTCAATCACTTTCTTGGTACACTGGATTGTGGGTAATTAAGAAGAGAATAATAAATTGTGACAGGTTAGGTGTTTAAACGAAAATCTGTGGAGATTTAAAGGGTAGTGAAGGCAAATTAGAGCTTGCAATTTGTAATGCAATGAATTTATAGCGTTCATATGTTTGCAGTTTAACAGTGACACATACTTTAGCAATGTCCTCAGGGGTTTGTCCCAATGCCTCAAAGATATCAATGGATGATGGTATGTACACATCCTTGAAGTATCTGACTGTGTCTGCATCTGCTCCAGGATATTCCATCTTGGCCACCTCTTCCATCATCTTTGTTTCAAACTCTGTATGCACTGGGCCTGGCTCAATCAGAGATAGTCTAGGAGAACAGAAGGAATGCTACATTAGCACTATAGCACTCTTTAATGCCAATAAGATGGATTATAAAAAGCCTTTTTACACCAAGTCTGATGAGCACAAGAGGTTTATAAATAAATCAGTCAATTAATCTTCAGAATAAATCTCATAATAGGCATTTTAATGAGAATAAAGTCATAAGTTTTCTCTAAGTCACCTTTTCTCTAAAAACAATATTTGAAGGCATTTAGTGAAAATTATTTTTTTTCCCAGTTGAGAGATATTTCCTGTATTTCTGCTGTAATTATAGCAAAACAGCTTATTCTAAAACATTTTTATTAACAGAAATTGGGAGTGTTGATATATTTAATTAATTAACCACAACATATTTTGTGATTCCAGAAGTTTCAAGAACTGTATGTTCTTCAGTAAAAACAATAGTTACTATGGGATAAGATTTTAGTGCGCATCTTGATTTTTATTTTTGAGGATTATGAGATTATTTTCAATGGCACATGGCATTAAACCAGTGTTGTAAGTGTAACTAAATGACATGAGGATAATATACTTATACAATATTTTGTAATTTGCTGAAAAAAAAAAACGAAATAAAAGAAACCCCTCACATTTATCATCACAGATCATAGCAATCTGATATTTCATTGATATGTTCATTGTTATGGTTTTAAACCTTGTTCTTTTTTCATGCCGGAAATTTAGGCTTGACATGTTAGTGCGCATCTTGATTTTTATTTTTGAGGATTATGAGATTATTTTCAATGGCACATGGCATTAAACCAGTGTTGTAAGTGTAACTAAATGACATGAGGATAATATACTTATACAATATTTTGTAATTTGCTGAAAAAAAAAAACGAAATAAAAGAAACCCCTCACATTTATCATCGCAGATCATAGCAATCTGATATTTCATTGATATGTTCATTGTTATGGTTTTAAACCTTGTTCTTTTTTCATGCCGGAAATTTAGGCTTGACATACATAGGCCCCAAATCGTAAGACTTTGGATCACTTACTTCACATTAAACTTCAGCAGCTGCACAGCCATACTCTCACAGAAGCCCTCTATGGCGAACTTAGAGGCCGTGTAGACATCATTGAATACCACACCTGCGGATAAGTTCAACAGAGACATATTCAGTGATAATGTCATTGTTCTGCTGCCCTCCCAAGGTGGCCCAAACCATGTGTGCCATATCTGGCTGTCATAATGCTCTTCAGCTAAGTGCATAACTCTGAATGGCTCTATTGTCCCTCTGACTGTCGAGCATTCAGCTGTGTGACACAGAAGGTTTGGTGTGTCCGTCCTACCCTGCAGGCCCATTACGCTGCTCATGACGATAATGTGGCCGGATCGCCTCTTCTTCATGTCTGGCATGACCTCTTTTATCATGCGCACAGTTCCGAAGAAGTTGGTCTCAAACACTCTCTTCATCTCATCCATGCTGATGCTCTCCACAGGGCCCAGCAAACCCACACCTGCATTATTAACTGGAAAATCAGAGAGGAAACATGGGTGGTTATGGTCTTGACTGTTCCCTGAGGCTCTAGGCTAGTATTGATTTTTGGTGACCACATATCATTCAGTTAACATCAGTCAGCACACACTTATTCTAGTTTCTATCAAGAATGTCTTGTCTCTGGTCATTTGTAGTAGTATTTTATCAATTTATCAGCAATATCAATTTATCAAATTAAATTTGATACATATTATCAATGTATCAAATTATGTTACATTGTTACACTGAACAGTTTTTACCTCTGCTGAAATGTGTTCATAGGCAGAAAAAAACAGATTTTATTTGGTCTATCCAACTCAATTCCTTTTTTTGTAGTCTGAACAGGCTAAAAACACATGCAATCCAATTTGTATAAGCCCGATGCAAGCCTTCGAATGTCGACTCATTTGAAATCCTATTAAAGATTTTTGTTAATGCGTTCGAGTCTGAACAGTCAAATAGGATTTGATTGGATTTGTGTGTCTTTTTTATTCGTCATGTGACGGGTTAATACAATAGGTGTTTTGTCAAGAACAAAAACAACAGGTGGTCATTATGTGACCATTGTAATCACATCATGCAATCATTGATTTCATGTGTTCATTGTTAACTAACTGCATGATTTGTATAATCTTATAACTGTACATTTATGTCATAAGGACATTACTTTGACAAAGTCATCTCTGATAACAGATCTCTCTTATTTGTAATGTAGAAACATTCATTTTCTGTGAAGCTGCTTTGAAACGATATGTATTGTGAAACGTGCCAAAAAATAGAATTGATAGTGAACCCCTGTGAAAAAGAAGTGTACTTATATCATATATCTTTAATATATTAAAAACTGTACTTGCAGATAGCATAATATTAATGAAATTAAGTACAATTAAAGAGTGCACTTTTTATTAATGTTTCACAATTATGTACACTTTTAAAATTTCTTATCATTTCAAGTATTTAAGGTACATTTCAAATCATTGTTTTAATAATATTTTGTTGTGCTTAAAAATGTAAATTAAAATGTTGATGTGTTGACATTTTAAAGCACATGTAAAGTACTTGATTAGTAATTTAACTGTTACTCATTATCATCTATATCATTTCTGTAATAAGTACTCTTTTTAAAAAGTATCCTAAATGGTACTTCTTTTTCTCAAAAGAATGGGCAATCTTGATGGGCAAGTTTAATAAAAGACCACAGAGCATTTCAAATGCGTTTGATTTTAGCAAACCCAGGACAGTTAACTTACACGATCACATGAGTCACTGCTCTTTTTGCGACTCCATAATGCTCTCTTATAGGGATAGTTCACCTAAAAACTAACTCGCCTTCAAGTTGTTCCAAACCTGTTTCTGCTGAACACAAAAGAAGATCTTTTGAAGATCAGTTTCTGGTCCCTATTGACTACCATAGTATTTTTTTTCATACTATGGTAGTCAGTGGGGACCAACAATTGTTTAATTGATTACCAACATTCTTCAAAATATCTTCTTTTGTGTTCAGCAGAAGAAAGAAATTCATACAGGTTTGGAACAACTTGAGGGTGAGTAAATGATGACAGAATTTTCTTTTTTGTGTGAACTATCCCTTTAACTGTACAGTTTCAGTGTATTTTATTGATTGTAATGAATGATAACAAATGATAATGAAACATAGTCAATGGCAAAACATCCTTTGCTAAACTCTTGCAAGGTGAAACTACGCAGGTTTGCCTCATTGCTATTGCAACCAGTGTTTATTTTTTTTTTATACAAGCCCATTTTTTTGAACAGCGCAAATAAAAATTTGGATTTCCCCTGCAGTGTGAACAAAGCCTATATGAGGTCAAATGCATTCTGCACTCACTGAGAATGTCGATGTGGCGGTCCTTGACACTGTCAATACATTGCCTGACTGAGTCATCACTGCACACATCCAAAGACAGCAGTGCCAAGGTCTTTCCATATGTGTCACCCGCCGCTTCCAGCAGCCGGTCTTTCTTTCTCAGGTCTCTCATAGTGGCAATAACTTCAAGACAAGTGACAGAAAATCCTTTTGTCATCAACAATCCACAATCACACAAAAATTAAAGACTGATATCTACAGAGGTTTTATTTAGAGCTGAATAATGGCACTATTGTCTTTCAAGAGCTGCTTTACAGCAGAATTGGAATTTGTCTCAGATTTGCATCATCGATTCTGTTAATTTTCTATTTATAACCCTGAAGCCCCTTTAAAACAACCTGTATTGTTTAAAGTTCTATATAAATAAAGGTGATCTGAGTTGACTCTTAGACGCTTTGTCCTAAAATCACCGCAGGAGATTGCAGTTTGATTTAATTTGATCCCTTATATCTTTTTTTAGCGCTGACATATATGCTGACCCAAACAAAGCACTCAAGTCTAATCAGAGGTAAGTGTTGCTTAATTAAACTATGGCTGAAAGATAAACTGAAGAGATTAACATTTTGATGCACTTTGCACTTTGAACACCTGAGGGGACACTGACCTAAATCAAGCGCCCATCCCAGATTTACTAATAAGCTTGCTGAACATCATTCAACTGTAATTCTTGTAGTTGGATTTGGAGTTATCAGTGTTGTCCTTATAAAAACATTAGAAACCCAGTCGACAGTGTGACATCAGCGATCAGCTGTAATGCCATGCCGACTATTATAGAGACATACACAACCATTCAAAAGTTTAGGGTCAGTACAATAAAAAAAGGAAAAAAAGAAATTAATACTTCTGTTTACAGTGTTACAAAAGATTTATATTCTTATAAATGCTGTTCTTTTTAAACTTTCTATTCATCAAAGAATCCTGGGGGGGGGGGGGACCCTTCAGTTTTCACAAAAATATTAAGCAGCACAACTGTTTTTAACATGGATAATAATAATATTAACACTTTCTTGAGCAGTAAATCAACACATTAGAATGATTTCTGAAGGATCATGTGACACTGAAGACTGGAGTAATGATGCTGAAATTTCAGCTTTGCATAAATTAAATTTTAAAATAGATTACAATAGAAAACAATAGGTTTTTTTTTGCAGTTAAATTGCAATATTGTTTCATAATTATTTGACTGTATTTCTGATTACAAGGGAGAGCATGAGGGGCTTCTTTCAAAAACATTTTAAATATCTTACAGACCCCAAATTTCTGAACGGTAGTATTTATAATGTATATATCTCTCTAGCGTGTAACTTTGTATTACAGCACTTGTCGACACTGAAGACTGGAGTAATGATGCTGAAAATTCAGCTTTGCATAAATTAAATTTTAAAATAGATTACAATAGAAAACAATAGGTATTTTTTTGCAGTTAAATTGCAATATTGTTTCATAATTATTTGACTGTATTTCTGATTACAAGGGAGAGCATGAGGGGCTTCTTTCAAAAACATTTAAAATATCTTACAGACGCCAAATTTCTGAACGGTAGTATTTATAATGTATATATCTCTCTAGCATGTAACTTTGTATTACAGCACTTGTCATGTTACTGCCTCCTTAGCATAAATCGCTTTGTTGTGTTCCTCATTTGTAAGTCACGTTGGATAAAAAAGTTTCTATTCTAAAAGTTTCTACTAAATAAATAAAGATCATTCAACTTGAACTTCAACATTTACATCATAGGCTTACTTTGCTTCTTTGACGCTGACAGGAATTCGTTTAGCAGTGTCTGTCTCTGTGATGTTTGATTTGCTGATTAAATCATCTCTGATTTTACAGATAAGGCTGAGGAGCCTCTGTAGCGGATCAAAGTGTTGAAGCGTCATTCATTCGTCTGTCAACAGACAGCATCCATGATCAGTCACAGCCCAGCTGCTGTTGACAAGTGCCAGTAAGCATGAGGAGACTGTCATGCATCAGTAAGGTGATGATGGAAACACAGCTGCTAGGAAATCTGCATTCCTGTCTTCCTGATTTCACGTGTATATATAAAGCATAATCTGTACTTGATGAGAGTAGAAATTAATTCTTACGACACACAAAGCCTGTGTGGCCAACCTAGGCCACAACTTAAATGTGTTTGCGAGAACAACCGCCTCATTGCTAAAGCTGTTGTTTTAGAGTAAGACTTGAGGCAGCTTAAACTTTCTTGAATGAGCCGCTCTGTCTTGTAATTGGATTTTTTGGCTTCTTTGAAGTTGGCATATATCACTGCTCCTCATTATAACCAGAACCAATGAAAAGTTTAATCTCAGGGGAGTTAAAAAATTCCACTGTTGCAATACTCTTCAAATGAGAACAAAGTTCAAACGGAATTCATTTAAAAGATGAAAAAGAATGAAAGAAATGTGTGGATGGAAAAGTTCCTATTCCGATAGTGTTCCATTTTAACTTTCCCTTTCGTGTATTAAAATAAGGGGACTTCAACAGGGGGTCTGTAGCGGTACCTCAGGGGGTCTGCCATACTGTTAAAATTACAATATGATAACTGTAACCAAGACTAAAGAAGCTTTGTTTAATTGTCCTGTACACATTAAAACACATAAGGTCAAATTAAAGTGTAATGTAGAAGTATATCAATGAGAGTACAGTAATCATCATGCTAACATAATGTGCTACTTTATACATGTCAGACTTATCCCGCAATCCACCAAGGGCCTGAAAAAGGTTGAAGACCCCTGGTGTAAACCAAACGCATTGTATTTGACTGACATTAATGAGTCTCTGGATGTAGCTGAGTAGGAGATAACAAATGTCCAATGGTTTTGCCCTGCTCAGAGTGCAGATGAAGTCTTCAGACGACCCTCGCTTTAGAGCCCTCACTTGTACAGGTCTCAAACTTTGTCCCTCTCCCAACACTCATTTCAGTGTGTAAACTATGGGCGCATTAGACACGCCACTAAACCAGGGCAGAGGTCTACAATTCACAGCCATAAAGGGAGCTTTGTACTGGAGAAGTCACTTGAAAGAGAACTGGCAGTCTCTTTATGATCTCCGCCTGGCAAGCGGTATCCTCGCGGAGCCGTACCCTGGAAACTGCGCTTTCACATGATAACAAAGAGCCTTTGGGTTCAACTAGACAAAAGTGAATATGATCTTGCGGTTGGGATGAGGAGACAAACGGATTCTCAAATATACAGCGTGTTATGTAAAGAAAATGTCCAACAGTTGCGTTACAAAATAAGACTTGTATGCTATCGATTAATACCGACTGCAAAAATGTGTAAACTTCTAGAATCTACAATCTACGAACGTTTTGAAATATTCTAACCAAAAATAGAACGTTCTATAGACGTTTGAGCGCTGAAGGAATTGGAAGGCAAATGAGCGCGTTTACCATGGTAACGCTTCTGTTCGTCTCTGGCCAGCAGCACTGCGATCCGCAGTCCGATCCCGGAGGAGCAGCCGGTGATCAGCACCGCTTTCTGCTCGCCGCCACTCGCCATGGCAGCTCCTGTCTCAGCGGCGAGCTGTATCAGCGGACTTGAAAAAACTTAAAGCGGATCATGCAACTCGGCGCTCATGTGAGCGGGTTATGCAGTCACATGGCAGACAGAATCGATTAGTTAAAGGAGGACGTAAACACGCATGCTTACTTACGTGAGCATCAGCGTTTACTGTACTGCTTTGAAAAACAAACAGATTCACGCAGTCAGATGCATCGCGAGCTGTGGGTGCAAAGGGGAGAGAGGTGTGTGTGTTTTGGGGAGGGGGCGGGGGTCTAAGGCGAGAAAAAATAAATAAAACAACAAACATTTAAAATGAAACCATTTTTAATTCAATTCATATTAATTGTTAATTACATCTCACTTTCACGCCTTCTGGTCTGTTAGTTCAGTATACTAACAGGAAATTATATTTTATTATATTATATACTATAATATAATGTAATATAATATCATACTATACTATAATATATATATTATTGTAAAGTATAATAAAGTGAGTTTGGTTTTGGTTTGCCATCCTCCACTTATAGTGGTATTGCTGATTGAATTCATCATTCTGTTTTTAAAGCATAGGCCTATTTTTTTGTGATATTGCACTCAGTTTTGATGCAGATGGCTACGTTTTTTTTTTAATTAGTAGAATCATTTTAGTTGTAATATTTTCAGTGAAAGAGTGAATATAATGACTATGTTCTACACTCATATGAGAAGCTTCTCAGTAGTTATGTTAGTCAGTACTGCCACCTGCTGGTAAAACTTAATACAACACATGCAGCTTTAAAGGGGTCATATGATGCGATTTCAAGTTTTCCTTTCTCTTTGGCAGAGGTGGGGGCAAGTCACACATGTTCAAGTCTCAAGCAAGTCTCAAGTCCCTACCATCAAGTCTCAAGTCACAGTACAAACAAATCAAGCAAGTCAAGTCAAGTCAGTGGCTCACCTCAAGCAAGTCAAGTCGAGTCCTGCTAAGGATCAAGTCAAGTCACAGTACCAAACAGGAACAAATATTTTTTTTTCTTATTAATTTTTCCTCAGAAATTAACTTAATTATACATTTTAAATAATAATGTTTTAAATATAACATTTTGAATATGAGGTAATTCTGACTTTGCTATGACAATCTGGCACTTCTGAATCAGCTACTGTTTTGTTATTAGTTTAATTATTTGCTATTGACTGTTCAAATGCGGAGTTTTGCACATCGTGTGTGTGTGTGTGTGTGTGAGAGAGAGAGAGAGACAGGGTCACATCAGTCAGCTGTCTTAACCGTGGCTTGTGTACTGCAAACACATACCAGCTTCATCACTGTGTCTGTCACGCGACTCTGTTCCCCTTTCGGGGCTCTGTCTTTACATTTATTTTGAAAGATGAAGCTCGCGATTATGGTAAGGGGCGTTACATTTCTGACGAGTGCTTGCGGTGTTCGGCCAATCACAATGCACTGGGTCAGCTGGCCAATCAGAGCAGACTGCGCTTGTCGGAAGGAGGGACTTTGTAGAAAACGAAGTGTTTGAGAGAGGCGGGGCATAGAGGACCTACAATAATGTACAGTATTTGAAAAATAATGTGTTTTTTGAACATTAAACCATGTCAACATATTCTGTTACACCAAATACACAAAATAATGATATTTAAAAAAACGTCATATGACCCCTTTAATAACTCTTAAAGTTATTAAAAGATTTTTTTAAAAGATGATTAGAAAATCTTTGGTTGTGATGGAAATGTTGTCAAGGACAAAGAGGGACATGGTTTTTGGAAAGACACACACACACACACACACACACATATGGTTTTGAGAAAAATATAAATATATATATATGTGTGTGATCATCGTTTTAAATATATAATTCACATAATTAACATTCAAATAATTAAAAAAATGGCAAAATAAAAATCGATCCATAAAAGATATTTGAAAATTAGACAAAAATAAGTGATTAAGGCATAACGTAAATTAAATTTTGTAAGCCAACAATATAGTGTCCATGACAACATAAATATTCAGAAATGTACAGTGAAACTTAACTTTTAGAGAAGCTAGAAAATGTGAATCATCCTTGCCTGTGTAAAACTTGCCACAGTCATGCAGAGGTGCTCTGGGTGTTTGCCAGGGATTTTCTATGCTGTTGTGAAGGTGTTGTGGATGGTTACAAGGGCGTGGTGGTTGCTAGGGGGTTCTGTAGAGTTAGAGTCACTGTAGAGGTTTGTTTTTTGGCTGAAGTCAAAAGAGCCCACCCCAAGTCTCTATAAAACTGTGGTCCCAATATAGCTTAAGACTCAAGATTTAAGACTATGGCTTAAGATTTTTCATTCACTGGACTAGAGTCATATAGAAAGGTAATAGACAAGTCACATAAAATGAGGTATCTTTTATGTCCATAACACAAACAGTGCAGGTAACAGTATGTGTCAGCATTTATGCATATGTATCAGGGATGGGTGACTGCAGCTATTTAGTAGGCTCATTACCTCCACATTGAGGCAGCTTTTTAAATCTATTGGTCCTTAATTGAATATTGTGATACCATTTGCCAGAAGGTGTGAGTGAAATCAGTCTATATCTAAGGTCTTTAAGAATAGATCTGGTCATCTAACTAAAGTCTCTGTCAGCAAACTAAAGATGTTTCGGCAGCTCATATGCAGTAATGACCTCCGCTGACTTGATTGCATTGTTCAGCACAGCGCTTCAGGGCACAGCAGCTCTCATACCAGGTTGTGCAATCACAATGCTCTTGAAGATATTGTCTGTGACTGTGACATATGTTGTCATACCAACCCATTTAAACTGTTTTTTTGGAGAATTAGACCGTTAGAGTTATGTTGTTTGCACCATAATACCCATGTGATGACCAGTGGTGTGACCCTTTCCACTGCAGTTACATGGATGTGTCTCCTCCCTGATGTTTCCTATAATCTATGATCATCTCCTTAATCTGCTTCACAAGCAGGATTTCAACCCCTTTATATGTATATGATCCTAGTAATTTTTGGCAGGTTTTCTTATAATCATAGGTTGGGATGTATAGTGGGGAAAAGTAAGCAGAAGAGCACTTGAAGCATAGGCATACAATTATCCTCAAAAGTGTATAAATGGTACCTATAGACTTCCTAATATTATCAGTGATAGCATGTAGGTCCAACAATCTGGGGATTTAAAAACATTCTTATGAACTTTTTCACTCTAATTGTAGGGAAGTTAATAGTTATGATTAAGACTTTGACACAAATGTTCTTCCAGGATAAACAAAATATATTGATCCAGGCCGTACTTGGAAAATCGTAGGCACTGTAGGAATCTAGTCTGGTTTCATCTGTTTTACATAATTTACATAATACATAATCCATCATTTGGAAGTCACACTCTACCTCTGAATAGGAATATGTTGCGTACTTAAGTTCTTCCCTTGTAAAAGTGTGATGAATTGTGCTGAATGTGCACAAGTAGTGTACTTCAAGCCCTAAAAGTTTTTTTAAACTGCACTCGCAGATAATAGAATATTATGTTTTAGTAATTTTTTTGTTGTGCTTTAAAGAAGTATACTTATTTTGTAAGTTGACTATCATACAGCACATGTAAAGTACTTGATTAGAATTTTAAATGTAATTTGATATTCCATATTACATTTAAAGTTAATATATTATAACTTTATAATTATAAGTGTATTTAAGCACATCATGTACAAGTTTCAATAGAAATGACATTAAAGTATATTTTAGTTTATGTATGCTAATGTGTTTATGTAGTTAAGTATGCTAAAGTGTTGTTTATTTTTTCACAAAGGTTGTGTTATCATTCAGAAACAGGGCCAGAACCCCAGCAGAATTTGACCTGATTACATGTCACAGGTATAGTGAAAATGTCCTTTTCTGAAAACAGTTTAAAGCGATTCTTTGGCAAGGGGATTAGATGTCAGGTGAGTCGCAATTTGGACATCACTGGGAGGTGTCAAAATGCGGAAAATAAGAATGAAAAGCGCTAATGCAGAGGTCACACATGTTTGGGCACGTTGACTATGTTGTGACCACAGCTGCAAGCATAAAGCAGGTTTGTAACTGAAGAAATGAGACTAACAAACAAAGTTTTATATTTTAAAGTAAAAAAAAATAGTCCAAAAGTAAAATCTTTAGCTTTAACTAGCCATACAGGCAGGACTACAAAATATCCGCTCTGCAGTTTTCTGCTATGACACTTAGCATAACAGATTAGCTTGGGTTGATGGGGAGGATCGAGTTTGATGCTTTGCATATCTGCTCTGTGGAGTCTCAGTTTGTTTACAGAATGCTGATACACCACAGGCCTCACTGTTTGTATTTATTGATTTCTGTCAGGCCTTTTAAAGTTTCTTCCTGAGGGCAGGCATAGTTTTCCTAGCATGGATTCCTGGCCTGCTCCAACCCTCTCAGGATCAGCCCTCATCCTACATACTGACAGAGTTACACACTGGACACCAGTTTAGCCTTACAGCCAGAATGCAGCCACAAAACACACAAGTTCATGACAAAATGGAGAATAGAGAGGTTGAGAGAAAGGAGAAATAAATTAGAATACATATTTTAGACCACACCATATAAAAACTTTGTTGTGAATTGTACTACTTTCACATGTAAACATAGAAATATATGCTAATAGTGAATTACTGTGTCCTTGTTTTGAGAGTTGACGACAGTCTTGCTATTGTAAACTAAAACATTGAAAAATTGTTTTGGTAATTGAAATAAGCTTATGTAAAATAAAATATAAATATTAGATGAAAAACTTAATTTTTTAATTAAGAATTAGAATTAGAACCTCGGTGTAACGATTGCCTACGGAGAGGAGCGAGGAACGAGGAGAACGCAGGAGAATCACAATCAACAGTCTTTTAATAATCCACACAGAGGAACAGGAGACGGGAGGGACTTGGAGCAGGAGGAGCCAAGGAGGGCCCAGGCCACAGCCATGACGGCGACCCACGGTGGAGCCGACGGAGGGAGCAGCCATGGAGGAGGAAGGGCTGACGACTCCAGGGGGCCGGCCAACGGCGGCAGAGCAGGTGGCGGAGGAGCCAGAGGCGGAGATGGAGAGCCGATGAGCCAGGGCGACCGGTAGGATCCGGAGGGTCAAGGCGGAGCAGATGGCGGCGGGGATCCAGAAGGCTGCAGTGGA